CGGAGACTGTTGTCAAGTGAAACGCAAGAAAGGTTACAACCTCTCCTCCCAGACTTCTTTCCCTTTGCTTCACAGAAACGAATTTCATTCTTCTCTCCGAGGACCTGTTGACGAGCTCAGGGCCCGTCTGAGCCCTGAGCTCGTCAACGGGTCCTCGGCGGTTGCATTAGTATGAATGTAATTGACATAAAAGATTGTTTAATCACCAATAATGAGTTAGGCTCATTTGACTCATCACTACGGTTTAACAGAAAAAGTGAATCATTGTTCAAAAATGTTTTACATAGATAATCTCCTTCTATTCAATGTCATTCCTATTTGAGTTCCTGAACTTAGGGAGTTTTTCTCGCACTTTTCTTATGTAGTCTTTTTATCCGACCCTAGCGGTATTTTCAGTCATATGTTTATCTATCGTCCCTTTTTTGGAAAGAAGTAGGTCTTAGTACAAAAATGCCAAAACATCGAACACTAGTTTTCTCCTGCCTTTGTCTGTCACTAATCCCTGACAGGTTACAAGTGCGGCAATAAGCGGGAAAAACTTGTACGCAACAAAATTAAACCTGCTGATGGACGAATTGCTCTACGGTTCCTCTTTACTAGCTGGGTACCTCATTTTGACTGTGATGACGCGAAGTGAGGAGTTGAGCCATCTGTAAGTAAGGTTTAGGATATGGTACCTCTATGATAGACTATCACATAGGATGTAAGTTAGTAAGCACCAACAGAATACCGCTTCCGTGTGGAACCCAGCAATGGCATATACTACTATCAGGCAAGGTAGGACAGGATCATGTGGCAAACCTTCTTGGAAACTAAGCTCCCATTAATGGTACACGTGGTTAAATTCGAATAAATGATGACTATGGAAGTATTTTCATCAACTCAAAAGTCTATCAGAGATCAAGTGGCACAACTCTCTCAAACATTATCTGATCAAGTATGGTATTTTCAGGTGGTATCATTACCAAAGAAGATCTTGCTTCATACAAACCAACTCTATATGAAGAGATGACGAACAACCACTTTCGCGGTGATCTCGTCATGTGCGGTGGACCACCTCCAGCTTCGTTTTCTGTAACTCAGCTTATCGTATCAGTCATGAGCGGTGAGCTTCTTGATCCATAATTTCACAGAGTTATAACAGCATTAAAGAAATTGTACAATTTAGCCCTGTATCCAGTTGGGCACCACGTCAACCTTCGCAGCAACTCTGAGTTTTACCA